TGCCGGTGAATAACACCCCCGACTGTGGATGCATGTGCAGGATCAGTCAGACGCGTTTATCTCTACACCTGAAAGGCCTGAACCACAGCAAGCAGCTATTATTGTGGGTCCCGGGCCGGGGTCTGAGCCCCTGAACAAGGACACCTGCCCCCCTGAGCCTTGGGGTGTGGGTGGGGTGGAGGACAAGAAAGGGGGAGGAAAGCTAGAAGGGGAACACTATAAAGCCTGGTGTGACACCCAACACGTGGGGCTTATCAAGTAAGACTCTTGAGGGAAAAGCTCGGAATTGTTGAGAAGTCTCTTCTATTTAACCAGAAATGTTTGAAAAGTCACCGTCCCCGGAAAGTGTCATTGGTATGTGCATGTTGAGCATGGTTTATTTCTACCTGCAATCATTTGTCTTGCATTTAACATAGAATCTTATTTTTAACACAAACGAATGCAAACCTGTCCCGGGAAAGTATATGATGTCATTCGAGTAACAAAGTCTGATGTCATCAAATACTTCATCGTTAAAAGTATGAACTCACAAGTTTGGCAAAAATCTCACGGCCATCCACTCCAGTGTGACTCCTGGCAACCCTATTGGACAGAGTCCTACTTCCCCTTTGGGTTTCTGAGGCTGTGAACCTTTACAGGAGCAGAAAGCCTCATCTTGCTCCTGTGGAGTAGCTGGTGGGTTCAAACTGCTGTCCTGTGGTTAGTATCCAACCAGGTAGCTCACTACCCCACCAGCGCTCCTCTGGGATCAGATTCACTTCAAAACCCAAACACGCAGCTGTGCAGTCAATGCCAACTCATAGCAACCGTGTGGGAGAGTAGGACAAGTGAGCCGGTCACCCTTTCCCCCCAAAATATCCTCCAGGAATGCTTTTGGAAATGGATGGCTTGGTTCCTATTTCAATAAGAGAGAACCCCAATCAAAAGAAGGCACATTGTCCCATAATATTTTATTGTCAATAGCACGTGGGAAATTCCACAGTGATCTCTGAGAGCAGGAAGACAGAAACTGAACCTATTTCCAAGGAATGGCAGGAGAGAGCGGAAGGAAGGAAGGTCCCACAATCTTCAGTCATTGTAGGTCTTTGGGTAGTGAGGCCATGCAAGAACCTTCAACATAGCTCACTCACTCATCAGACCAAGTTCAAACCATCATTTACAGCAAGTCCCCGTCTACAGCAACCAGACCCATCAACCCTGAAGGAGTAGGCACTTCACTAACTTTCATTGTTTCTCCTGAAAAGTAGTAGGTTGCCTCTGTCCCTTTTCCTACTGTCACCTTAGGCAAGCAACTCATAAGATTCTTGGACTGGCTATGGGGAGCACCCCTGCTTATGTTAAGTCCCTGCTGTCAGATGTCCACACTTCCTGTGTCCATTAAAGGCCACTGCTACCAGTCTAGCACTGACCAAATGGCCGGTGGCAATTCCATCAACACTGAGAGCGGATGTGTAAGAAGCTCTGTGCTTCCTCTTGGAAAGCCTGTAATTGGGATGCTCTAGGGGTGTCATTTCAGAGACTGAAAGAGCTCAGGTAACAGAGTTTTCATAAGCTGGCATCACCATTTGTCAGCAAAGCTCAGCCACTTACAGTGTATGTAAATACACTGTACCTGTCCTGAGAATGGTCTACGTCATGTGTGTGTGTGTGTGTGTGTGTGTGTGTGTGTGTGCGCGTGTGTTTGTGTAAATATGAAAGTTGTGGTTTATCAGATGCTTAGTCAATATGTCATCGTTTTAAATCAATCGAGAGTTTGCAACAACATCTGACCTCAAAGTTTCATGTAAGGACTCCTGGACCTAGAGTAAGCTGTGCACCTCGCCAAGCCTCATTTCCTCCAACCCAAGGGAAGTTCGGAGGGTCTCACACATGACAGTTTCTTTGGTCTTACAGGGCAGTGAAGCTGGCTGGCAGGCCAAGTCCGGGGATTGTGAGACTCCTCTGATAGAGATGTTCCGCATGGAAGACTAGGTGGATGGCCCAACACAGGCACTCACCCGGTCCTGCCAATAACCCGGGCTAGGGTAACCAATAATGAATAAATAGCTCTCCTCTGAGGTAACTCCCATTCACCAAAAGCAGATGGCATCATCTTCTTTTAAAGGGGAGAAAAAGAAACAAAAGCAAAGAATGACAAAAGAAAAGCCTCCAAGCGCAAGGCTGCCTATGACGAGTCCCCGGTGCTTTCTGCTCCAGTGGTATTGACAACAGCTCGGTCGTATTTAAAAAGTGCCCCTCTGGCTGCAGAACTTATGGGATCTGCAAGCGCAGAAAAGTCAGGTGGGACCTCACATGGGCCACGGGGCTTAGGGAGAACAGAACTTGCCAAAGAAGATGATGTTTCGGGTTTTGTTGTGCCGGATGATGTAGAGGAACGGGTGGTCAGCGTGGAACTCATCCTTGTGCTGCAGGATGCGTGACCCCGGCACCTCAATGGAGTCCCCGCCGTCCTCCGTGATTTCCAGGCACACCCGGTGGATCACGTTGGAGAGGGCCACTCCCTTGGTCTCTGACATCCCAGAGAAGTCGGACGAGTTTTCATTAAAGACTGTTTTCAGCCCCAGGTTCTCCAGACTAGCCTTAGGGTCAATCATCTTTTCCACCTTGAATTTGGGGATGGAGAGTTTGACTTTGGCATTGGCCATGGTGCTGGGGTTGGTCCACTGCAGCAGAGTCTCTGAGTTGAGCTGTTTTTCAACCTGAAAGATGAAAAGAAAGGAAAGAGGATTGAGAAAGAGAGAGAGGAATTACTTTTTTCTAAATGTCATTCTAAAAGATCTTGCTTGGTTACCAAATGGAAAAGGAGTCTTGGTAAGCCCAGTTTCAAAGCAGTCAGATGGCTCATCAGAGATGGGAATAAGAAATTTGCACGGGACTAGTTCTCCTTCGAGAAGAATCCCCCAGCGCCCTTCTCCTCCTCCTGCAACAATGCCCCAGGGCTCAGAACTTCAGAGAGAGTTGGGCTATTGTTGATTTTTTAATTTACAGAGTTATTTTATAGGACCAAATAAGTAGATTATAGATTCACCCTAAGTATCATGAAACAAATGTCAAATTAGAAAAAAAAATTAATACACGTATAACATTTCTTGAAGGTATGCTTTAAATTCTCTACCAGGGAATCTAGAAGAATCATGTCTTAAGTATGACATCCGATTTAATAATTCAAATGAAAGCTATAGTCATTCTTCTTTTTTTTAATGAGCAGGTGGATGATCTTGGAGGCATCCTCTAAGACCATTGGTGTAAAGACATCTGTCCCCATTGGTTTTCAAAATGTGAGGTGCACAATGAGCTAGAAGAAAGCTTTCACCCTAAAACGTGTGGTCAAGAAAATCTTGAATCGCCCCTCCCCCGTACCTTTTCCAGGCCTGTGGACTCGTCCTCCACGTCCTTGGGCAGCAGGATGAGCATGCTGAGATGCTTGTTCTGAAAGGGAAGCTCGATGATCTTACAGTTGATGTCATCGATGTGGCCCAGACAGAACGTGGCCTCCAGGTTCATCATCGGCACCGGTTTGGTGTCCGTCTGCAAAAGGAGAAGGCATTTGGCTGCTGCTCTTCAAGCTACAGAAGCATGAAACATGTTTACACATGCATTTTATATACTTCGGACTGTGTATAAATGTGTCTGTATATTCATATGGGTAAGTGTGGGTGTGTGTGTATCCTGGTGGTGCCATGGTTAAGCATTTGGCTGCTAACCAAAAGGAAAGAGACTGGTGATCTCTTCCCAACAAGACTGGAGGTGAGAACCCCATGGGGCAGTTCTGCTCTGTCACATGTGATCACTGTGAGTTGAAAATCAACTCAAGGCCACCTATCAACCACAAGATTCCCACAGGCAGAAGCAACAACAATGTGTGTGCATTTGATCTTTTCTATGTGAAACTTAACAATCCAGTCACTAGGAGCCAAATTATACTATCCCTAACCCATCACAGACTCTCCTGGGAACAATTAATGACTTTCTTTGAAAGATTATTTGCATTGTACGTCTCGTGCCTTACAAAAGCTATAGTTAATAGAATATTGTATTTGCACACATGAAATATTAGAAATGAGACTGTATGGCTGAAAATATAAAGAAATTCTAAGTGAGTCTTCCTAGATGTCTATAACTATTACAAGATTTTTTTAAACAATTCCTAGTGGAGCTGACCTGAAGGCAAATTCAAGTAAACCTGCACATCCATTCATAGCTTTCCCTAGTTGAATGCCTTTGACCTCCATGACTGTGTGCTCTCTCTCTCTCTCTCTCTCTCTCTCTCTCTCTCTCTCTTGCTCGCTTTCTCACACACTCACACACACACTCTCACATACATACTCACATACTCACACGCACATACACACACTCACATACTCAGAGACACCCACACACTAACTCACACACACATATACACACATACTCTCGTGCAAACTCACACACACACACACACAAACTCACATACACACTCTCACCCTCACACTCCTGCACACACCCTCCCTCCTGTAATGACAGCTGCTCTCGTGTGAGCAGATGAAGACAGTCTGGGTGTCGGCCCCAAGGGTGATAGAAACAGGCGGTGTGACATTGAGCCGTCACCTCGCTCCTGGAAGCTCAGGGTCCTGGTCTGTCCAACGAGGGACTCGCAGATTGGGAGCAGCAGGTGCCTCTGAAGGCATGGGGAGAGGCATGGGAGAGCTAGGTGCAGGCATGAGGCCCGGAAGATGAGTGAGACACTGCCCCTGTCCTTGGAGATACCCCCCCCCCAAACCAGGAACAGGCATAGAAGTCAGTGAACACTCAGCGTTCACCGGAAAGCACATTGAGGGGGGGCGGGGGCCGGGGGACCAAAACAAACCTACTGCTGCTGATTCTACCTCACAGCTACCTGGACGTGTGCAGGTGAATAAAAACGTTTAAGAAGCAGGAGAGAGAGAAACCAGGCATCGGTTGTATTGTATGACTTATCCTCCTGGGTCCCAGCACTAAGAAGGTGCTGGGAAGCACTGCACTGCTAGCCACAGGGTGGCCAGTGGACACCCACCCACCCCCACCCCGGGCCCCTCTCAGGAAGAAAGACATAGAAGGCAGTTCATTATTTCCACCAGCGGTATTCATGAGATCCCCAATTCTCAACTTCATTAGAACGCCAGTAACTTAGATGGATAAGCCATAGTATTTTTCTTCACAGTCGGCAAGCACCTCCAAAAATTCAAATCTCACAGCCATCAAGTTGACTCCGACTCAGAACGCCCCTCTGGGACAGAGTAGAACTGCTCCTGTGGGTTTCTGAGACCGTGACGCCTCACAAGATCAGACAGCCTTACCTTTTTCCTGTGGAGAGACCGGTGGGTTCGAACCACTGACCTTGTGGCGAGCAGCTCACTGTGTAATCCACTACACCACCTCAAAGGGTCTTGTAAACCAAAATAACAAGACTATGACCTTCTCTTAGAAACGAAGGTTCTAGAATCAGCAAGGAACAAGATTCCCAAATGGTCAAGCCTCCATGATAACCCAAATGCCCCCATGCTGCTGGTGGGTGGCTATTTTGGGTTGCTTTTCTTGCTGAAGGTCCCAAATATTTGTAGCTACTTTCCAGTTGATGGCTCAGCCTCTGGGTTATAAAGTCTACAGGGCCTCACTCGGCGCAGACATGAAGACATTTGGGAAAGTGGGAGCGTCACAGGATGACTTCTCTCC